TGGTTTCCTCCAATTTTATTTTAAAGTTTTTTTTTACTTGAGATGCTTCTTCCATGCTATCATATTTATCACTTGCTTTACATTCACATGTAATTGAATTTTTTGATCGATTTGTGGTACTACCGTAAAAAATCTCAAATGATATTTGGGGTCTCTTCGTTCGCAAGTTTTACTTAGTTTTCTCTTGCTGACCATCTAAATCGTTCATTCTACTTCTATTAGAGATCAATGGTGTACAATCTACACCTACTTCTGAAATTAATTTTTATTTGTGCTCTACTTTTTGTTTTAATTTAGTATATAAGATTTCGATATTTAACTGTAGTATTTGTATGTATATGCCTTTTGCTCTTTCTTCATGTATTATTACAGCTTTCCAAATGCATGTATGATATTTTGGCTTTATGAGCTTGTGTTTACGTATGATTTGTTTCGAACTTCATGTATTTTTGTAGGCGTTATCACCATGTGATTTTGTTGGATATGCTTTCGATTTTAATGTGATTATTAACCTATAATGGTAGTTCTTTCCGTTATTCTTTGGATTCTTAGGTTGTATGTAATTTTCCTATGCATGTTTGAAAATGGAAATAAATATGTATACATCTCTCTCTATTTCGTTGTAGACGTAAACATATTCTGATTTGTCACATATGTTGTATCCTCACATGTTCGAAATTCAGAGCTTTTATATGTCTTTGCTTTCATTTGCCTCAATAGTTGTCCAAAGAAATTCATTAGCGAAGTCAAAATAAGATAGCCACTGAACTACACATATCTTCATAGACATTTTCTTTAAAATTAAAATTAATTGGATATTTCTACTGATTGTTTATGGTTGATGTATGTTCTTTTCAGTTAGAGGAAAGATAGTTTGAAACCCACCAAGTATACTACTGCAAGAATTTACAACCCACTACATTTCTCTTCCTTCAAAGTTCTAATTGCAAAGATCTATTTTCTGTCTCAGCTTTAAGAAAAAATGCTTTGCAAAATGGAAGACCTTATCTGAAATTTTCCCAATTCAACTAAGCCACCATAGGTATGTTGTATGCACATCCTCTTTCCTTCTTTCTTTCTTATCATTTTAATTGGCTTTCTTCCACCTAATTCTTTCAACCATTCAAATTTAATAGTATTTGTTTTTGTTGTTATCTCTGTGGCGTGCAAATATGCTATTTTGATTATTACTTTTGAATTAGCTTATTTTAGTTAAAACAATTGAGCAGCTTGATTACTTCAGAGTTAGCACCATCTCTTTTGGGCAGTCAGCTGTGTGTCTTTCTCATGTTATTAAGCATTCAAGTGCCTTTTATTTTTATGGAAATAAATTGTGAATTATTATCATACCAATAATTGAATACACTTATGGAGCATCTATACTCTCAAACATTGTTGGACCTCAATTCTACTAATTACAGAGCTGATCACAAAGAGATGCAACAGCAAATCTATCACTTTTATCGTGATTCCTTGAATTTCTTTCTCTTTGATACCTAATGGCCATATAAATTTACCTTCAAAGTGTTGCTCATTTTGGGTGATTAACCCCCCCCCCCCCAACCCCCCT